TATCCTTTCCATTAAGTTAATTTAAAATTATGAAGTAACTATCTTTTCTATTAAGTTCATTTAAAATCATGAAGTAACTATCCATTAAGTTTATTTAAAATTATGAAGTAACTATCCTTTCCATTAAGTTAATCTAAAATCATGAAGAAACTATCTCTTCCACTTTATCGCGTTTTCCATGTTGTTATTAAATCTCATAATGCTTTTCTTCAAGTTGCTTCATTTTTCATAAAGAATGAAGACGTCCTTCATTTCTGTTTATGTTTTTTCGCAGCTAAAAATTAAACGGATTAAAATAAACTTCAACATTTAAAGCTTTTTTTATGTTTTACTTGTTAGTATTGATTTAAGATTTAAATTAACTTTAAGTCTTTATTTGCGTTATACATGGTATATTGGGAAATGTTTTATTAATGATATTATCTTGGAACGTAAGTCTAAAATATAAAATGTGCGTTAAACAACAACTTTTGCACATTTTAAGTAAAATATTTTAAAGTAAGTAGTAAGTTTCAAACACACACACATTACCCACAGCTGTCTTACTATACACATACATACGCAAATTTATAAATATTATGCCCGGTGTAATGATATTTATATTGTTACATATTATTAAACTTTCGTATTTTATATTTAATTTCAAATTAGATACATGGTAGAAAGAGTCGATGCTAACGTAGCTATTTCGTCGAAAGACCTTGAAGCAAAACATACGAATTCAGCCGCTTCGTATCTCTTCACAGTCTTTGAAGGTTTATCAAACTTTACCCACGTGTTGAGTTTGGGGCCTTGATTAATAGCATTTCTACTACATTTTATTTATTGGATGCCGCTGACGACGAGGCTTTTCGCGCGACAACTAAGCTCGGTTGCAGTTTCTAATAAAGTGCAATTGAAACGATATTAATCTACTCTACATACTTGGCAAGTTGAAAAAAAAACAATAGCTGATTAGGTACAAGTAATTTTATTAGTAACTTGCTTCAAAAACTTTTATTTCTTTTCTTTTTCCATTACAAATGCGGCCTAGCTCAGGAAATCTCTTTCAAAATGGAGAGGTGATTTTAATAATAAAAACTGACTCAAAAAATAATAATAATAATTTTAGAACAGCCGTCCCCCGATGGGTCAGCAATAAGTTTACGGACTTACAACGCTGCCTCCCAGTATCGCAGCGGTATGTCTGCGGACTTACAACGCTAGAAACCGAGTTTCGATACCCACGGTGGGCAGAGTACAGATAGCCCATTGTGCAGCTTTGTGCTTAACTTCAAATAAACAAACTTACAACGCTAAAATCTGGAGTTCTATTCCCTTGATGGACAGAGCGCAGATAACTCATCGTGTAGTTTTACCTTAAAGCCAGATCATTTATATAGTAAAATAAATAACGACTAAATAGCTCATATTCGAGTTTCTACGTAGTGTTTATAGTTAAAAATTGTCAGTTGGTTTGAACAACGCGAAAGAAGAGATGGTCACAAAAGATGAAAGTTCGGGCTACATTAATAATTAACCCATGGAAATTATTAATTTTTCCTTTGTGTTGTAATTTCCATCTTAAAACATCCTGAAAATTAAAAGCAGGAAAAAAAAAGAAAAGCTGCGTATCTGGAAACGCAGTTAAACATATACACGTTGTGCTTTCAATCTTAAGTACAGGGTGGCCCAAAATTATATTACCTATTTCAAAATTTAATCATTAAGGAAATACAACGATGCAGTCTTCAACATCTTGTAGCCAAACTCAAGCATATTTTATTGACATGTCAGTAGACTTCTACGTGTGCACCATTAGTGGCTATCAGCACGTCTAACCGAAATTCGATTTCAGTCCACGTCCGCTGCAACATGGCCACAGTTACAGTGGCGATGGCGTTCGTTATCCTGGTCTTTAGCTCCGTGATGTTAGTTATAGGTGTGCGATACGCGATATCTTTAACACACACCCATATTTATTTCTGTACTGGCGTCTGTAATTACCCTGCACCACATAGTCACTGACTTGGTATCTACAAGTCAAACAAACCATTGAGCCTTTTCTTGCGCTACTCACTGGAGTGAAAAAAACAAAACAACAAAAAGCATGACAATAAAAACTGTTTGAGTTTGGCTGCAATATGTTGAAAACTACATGGTTATATCTCCTTAGTTATTTAATTATTAAACTTTAGGATAGGAAAATAGTTTTGGATCACCCTGTATCATTGCACAGCTTCCGTGTCCTTCAGAATTGTGTATTGTTGCTCGTACGTCAAAATTAAAAATTAATCAAACGTCACAAAAAATGTATTAATCCATGCATATTTCACGATTATTATTAGAAAATTAAAACAGAATGTGCGTAGGTTTTCGTGTGCATAGTGATAAGTTTTAAAATGGGTTAATTTATATTTAAAAAATCGTTTCTAATATAAAATTTCAAATTTCCTTTGCTGACACTAAATGTAATACCATTTGCTACTGATTGATGAATTTGCCCCCCCCCAGTGGCACAGCGGTATGTCTGCGGGCTTACAACACTAGAATCCGGGTTTCGATACCCGTGGTGGGAAGAGCACAGATAGCCCATTGAGTAGCTTTGTGCTTAATTACAAACAAACAAACATTGATGAAGTTAGAAAATTCCAGTTTTTTTCTTTACCTCGGTAGGTTAGCAGTAAGTTTTCTGACTTACAGCGCTAAAATCCTGGGCTAGATTCTCTGCGACGGACAAAACGCATATCATCAATCCGTTGGGTTACCCCCCCTAAAAAAACAAATAATTAAACATTCTGAATGGTAAAAAATTTTAGAATGTTCTTTAACATTTTTCGAAAGAAAATAGATTCGAACACAAATCACATTTAAAGAAAGTTAGCAAGAAGATAAATCATTATTTGTCCTTAGTTTAGATAAAGGATATAAAATACTTCAAAGTGCATTATAGAAATCAGGATTAAGCTCGCTGGTGTTATTTCTCCGAAAGGGGCCAAAGGCCGCCTGGAGGGGTCACCTGTTTAAACCACTGGCACCATTAGACAGTAGTATGTTCTCTGTCAGTCAATCAGTCAGTATACACTAAAATGACGTCACATAAGGAACGCTTAACGTTGTAATTTGTACTGTCGTCACGTCAGTAAAACATGCACATGCCATGAATCACGAGAAGAATTATGCACTCTGTCGGCTACAATACAGCATGACATATGAACTTCAAACGCAAGAGATAGTAATATTTGTTACTCTTAATTTGTTTTTATTTACTCTCGAAACAGAACACTTTCGTGGACCCTGCGGAAATACATCTAATTACATTCGTGTTGGGAGGGGGGAGCCATTACTTCGAACTGTCAAATTCTAGCTGAAAACAATGTATATATATTAATAGAAAATAAGGATCAATCCCGTTTGGAGTGCTGACCTGTCCTTTACTGTCTCTCGGTCAGACAGTAGAAGGTTTTTAAGACTACAGCAACAGACAGACTCATCCAGACAAACTGGAAAAAATAGGTGGTTTGTATACTGTACAAACAGCTTATAGTGATAACGAAAGGTGCGTTTATTTTAAATATCTTAACTATTCAGAATCGCAAACTATCCACCTTTTAAAGTTGTGTTTACCTATAGTTTGTGAAATGAAATACTTATGAAGACTTTTTGTTGTTAAACACAAAGCTACACAAAAAGCTATCCGTGCTTTACCCACCGCGGGTTTCGAAACCCGAGTTTTCGGCGTTATAAGCCCTCAGTCTTACCGATGAATAGCGTTAATTAATCATGTAGAAAAGCTCTGTACGCTATGTAAATAGTTTGTTTGGGTTTTGAATTTTGCGCAAAGCTACACGAGGGCTATCTGCGCTAGCCGTCCCTAATTTAGCAGTGTAAGACTAGAGGGAAGGCAGCTAGTCATCACCACCCACCGCCAACTCTTGGGCTACTCTTTTACCAACGAATAGTGGGACTGAGCGTCACATTATAACGCCCCCACGGCTGAAAGGGCGAGCATGTTCGGTGGGACGGGGATTCGAACCCTTAGATTGCGAGTTGAGCGCCCTAACCACCTGGCCATTTAAAACTAGAAAAATGTCTACACATAGACCGTCAACTAGATGACTCTTTGAACTTCGCCCTGTTAAGGTCAGTAACAATATGTTTGTCTCTTTCTTTTTGTTTTTCTCCACTGGAACATAAAATTAAGGAATGGTCATTTCATTTATTTCCTATAAGATTTCTTCCACATTCCACTCCTCTACCCCATTTCCCCTTACCGTCTATTCTTATAACCTTCTGGGATGACAGTAAGTGGTCACTTTAGTTCTAGGGTAGCGCTCATGATTTTAAGGGTCGCCAGCTAAGCTTACTCGCCCAATTCTACAAGTAAACAGATTAGTCCTGCACTTGGCATCCTATTAAATCCGTATTAAGCCAGGTAGCGCGTGAGTCTCCGTGTCACGGACACGCGCCCTCCTTCAGGCGAAAGTTGGAAGCTGGCGCCAAGAGTGCTTTTTTTCACATTCCAGGCAGGTGAACGCACTGGCGGAATTTACCCGAAGAAATAAGTGTCATATCCAGCACTGAAGCTTTTTGTGAGAAAGACTATGGTAATTAAGGTATTAAAGGAAGATGTTTCTTTCTTTTCTTACTGTTTTATTATTATGTATTTGTGTCGCAATAAATGCATTGCCCTATAAATGTGTTATTTATCACTGAGGAAAAACGCAAGTTTGGATACTTTAACAAGTAACATTATTATAATTTACAGAAAATAAAAAAAAAGAACGCACGCACGCAGCATGTACATGACTTCTGGTCATATGAGCCGTTTTTCTTACCGCTTATCAGAGCTTAGTCTAATATTGAATTGTCGCGTCAGGATCAACTAGAGCTGGTTGATCATTTGGCGCCAGTGATTCGCTAAGTTAGAATCCACTGGCTCCGCCTTAGAGCTTCTTCCCACGTGCCCACATGCTAGGGCCAATCCCCCGTTCCATAACCCTCAGTCCATTGTGGACTCAATCAAGCATGTCAAATATTTCTCGCACATGACGTCACCAATAAACATGGAAATGCTCTTGCACCCTGCCATGTATCACAGAGGTTACAAGCACGTGTTAGAAGACACCTGGACCGAGGGTAGGCCTGAAACTTAAGAGGTATATCAGTTTGTAAAGTGTTCAATAAGTTGCTTGGACAGACTGCGTTCTATGACGTAAGTTGATTTTTACGAATTTTAGATTAAACTTAAGAGAGAGAGCTTTGTATTTTTGAAAGGGGCGAAAAGGGAATTTCATATATTAAATAAAATCAACAAATGTCGTTTCGAGCAGAACACTTTCTCTTGACGATTACCATGGAAACCTTTATTAAGTCACCAACAGTCGCCCTAGAAGGCAACTTACGTTTGAAGATACCTCAGATACAGGTTTCCAGGGTCATCTGTTGCGTTCTGATAGAAGTAAACCAGTTCGTATAAGTGTTTTAGTTTTTAGTTTTAAGTTCAAACAACTTCCAACCAGCGTGCCATGCATGCTCGAGGAAAAAGCAAAAAGGGAATTATGTGATGTGGATGTAAACAACGTGTTTAATTGGTATTGTCGGGGAAAGTTTCTAACACAAACATCAAACAAAACTTAGAAGTATGATATAAACAATAGAAATAAAATGGCGTACCTTTTTTTACCCCTATTATTTGGTAATTACATTCGTATTTAGACACCCAATTAAAATGTATCACCCTCGTTAAGGATAAAGACACAAATTTGCCTCTGTTCTGGTCACCTTTCAACGAGTTAGAAATTAGTGTTCTCAAAATACTTTCGTAAGTCGCCATTATATTTTGTCGCTTAGCGATTAGCAAAGTGTTGAGTGAATCTCTTAACACCAGTTTTTATAATGACTCTAGGCTATTTGCTATGATTTTAACTTGAGATATAAACGTGTTGAACATGCGGGTTTTGACCTGTGTTTAAGAAACGAAAACATTTTCACATTACCGTGTGAAAATAAGAAACAAATTTTAAATATCGCTGTTAACGTTGTTTTTTTTTCTTAGTGAAAACTATACAATGGGCTATCTACACTTTGTCCACCACGGAGAACACTCCCCCTCTCCACCCCACTTCTCCAGTGGCTGAGCGGAAAGTCATTGGGTGTATAACACTAAAAAAACTGGGTTTCAATACCAGCGGTGGGCACAAGACAGACAGACCATTGCTTAATGTTGTGCTTAACAATAAACCACCGCGAAGAATCGAACCTCGGATTTTTGCATTGCAAGTCCACAAACTTACTACTGACCCACCAAGGGACCGCTCATAAAGATGGATTTTCATTTCAAATCTGTTACGGATTGGTTTATTGTGTTATAATGCAGTAATTAAAACACACCTCTAACTATGTGAACTTTAGAATAAAACCTCGTAAAAGACAAATGAAATAATTTAAAGCAAAAAAATACGCAATTCGAAATAATATACACACATTTAATTTTTTTTTCTCCGCAAAAATATTTTAAAGTGGCAGTTGAGAGGCACTTCTTTAGACTCCTATGTTAATCCACAAACATTTTTCGTCTCCATGATATTTTCATTTGCTTGCCAGGTTCCTTAACTAACAGATTTAAAATATCAATCGTTTCTTATCTGAAAATAGAAACCAGCTGGAGTTCATACGAACTAGCTATACGTTTTTTGCTCCTACGAAGTTGAGGCTACGAATAAACTGGTAGAAACTTTACTTTTGTTGCTCGGTGTATCTTCAATCATTTCTATATATAAATATATATGTGTGTTTTGATTTACTAGTCTTGTGGCCATATTCAAAATTGGGTTGTCTCTGATTTTCGGGCAAACATACACAAGGATTTGTTTGTTTGAAGTTAAGCACAAAGCTACACAATGGGCTATCTGTGCTCTGCCCACCACGGGTATCGAAACCTGTATAAGTCCGCTGTGTCTCTGGGGGGGGGGGGGTACACAAGGACTATCTGCGCATAGTCGTCCCTAATTTTGAACTTATAGACTAGAGGGAAGACAACTAGTCAAAAGTACCCACCACCGACAACTCTTTGGCTACTCTTATCTCTGGGGGGGAGGGGCTACACAAGGACTATCTGCGCATAGTCGTCCCTAATTTTGAACTTATAGACTAGAGGGAAGACAACTAGCCAAAAGTACCCACCACCACCAACTCTTCGGCTACTCTTATCTGACATTGTAGTAGGATTTGATCATCACACTTATACTGCGCCTGCAGCCCCAAAGTGCTGAGAATATTATTATGACAATAAGACGCGAGCCATGAATTATCAAATACACCATCCTGGCTGCTAACAACTAGGCCACGCTTAGCCACATATTGCAAATTTGATCTTCCTTTGGTGGGGCGTCATGTAACTGATGAAGTACATTTTCTAGTTCTTGTGCTGTGTACATAGCCTGCTATTTGATTTCCTTTGCTTTGGTGGGGCGTCATGTAACTGCAAAAGTACATTTTCTAGTTCTTGTGCTGTGTACATAGCCTGCTATTTGATTTCCTTTGCTTTGGTGGGGCGTCATGTAACTGCTAAAGTACATTTTCTAGTTCTTGTGCTGTGTACATAACCTGCTATTTGATTTCCTTTGCTTTGGTGGGGCGTCATGTAACTGCTAAAGTACATTTTCTAGTTCTTGTGCTATGTACATAGCCTGCTATTTGATTTCCTTTGCTTTGGTGGGGCGTCATGTAACTGCTGAAGTACATTTTCTAGTTCTTGTGCTGTGTACATAGCCTACTATTTGATTTCCTTTGCGTTGGTGGGGCGTCATGTAACTGCTGAAGTACATTTTCTAGTTCTTGTGCTGTGTACATAGCCTACTATTTGATTTCCTCTTCAATTTGTCTCTCGTTGGCTCATGGGTTATAACGCTAAAATTAGGAATTCGATCTATTCAGCGGACACAACGTAGATAGCCCATTGTATAGCCCTGTACTAACATAAGACAAACAACTCTACTGTATTCATTTAAATTGTTTCTCATATACAGTCCAGTAGTTGCACAACTGTTGGAAAAGAAGGAAACTACAATGTGAATAATTTCTTTAATATATTATTTTTTTGTTTGAGACCTGTTTAGGATACCTTGTTTTGAAAAACAATTTATTTGTTTTTGTTTCTTCTCAGTTTCAAGTAAATCTTGCCCTCGAATAATGAGAGCCCCTAAAATCCTCGTGATCCTCCACAGAGGCCTCAATTTGAAAATTTCCAGTCTTAATTCAGATTACTGTTTTGAACTTACATGTTAATTTCTCTTTTTAAGCGATTCGGTTAAATCAAACATGTGAGCTTCCAGAGATTTCGACCCCCCCCCCCCACACGCACATCTATTTTGGGAACTTCCTAATAACTTTTTGAATTTTTTTCTTCGTTCTCATTAATTGGAGTAAGGTGCTTACATGCAAACATTTCATGTCAAGAATTGTTGGAGGAGTTCAAAACTTGAATAAACATAAGTACAATTGAGAATTGCTATATGGATTAGTCGATGTTTAAAGTATGCCACGTATTTTCATTTGAGTGAAAATAACGGTAAACGTTTTAACAGACACACAAATACATAGGAAGTACATTATATCCATGGTTCGTTTTAAGCCATTCTAACTACGCTCAGTACGAAGACTGTTTTTGAGAATAATGAATACTCGTTTTATCATACGAAATAAAAGGAATACATAATACATATGTATAAAATAGTACCGTCTATTGTATGTCCATGTAATTACTTAGCAGGGTATGGATGGATCTTCACCAAAATTGGTATGGAGGTTCATTCGGTCCATGCGGGGATACATACACATTTTCAGTTTTGCGTTTTGCGGTTTTTATGAACATTTTTGTATTTTTTACAACTGCTTCGTCCCCTGTTATTGGATATTCATCAAATTTGGCATGAAGGTTTGTTGGATCAATGTTGAGATACATGCATTTCAAATTTTGTGTTTTACAGCTTTTATGGGCGTTTTTTTACAATTACATATAAGGGAAGCAACTTTTCATGTCCTAAGATAATCTTTCATTATTCACGAATTTACATAACTTCCGTCCAGGGTACCAGTACTCTAGCTAGTATATAATATATATATATATATGTGTCTAAAATCTAAATCGTAAAACGAAGCATTTCGGATGTGTGTGTTTGTGTGTGTGTTTGTGTTTGTTTTTTTTTTTGGTTTGTTTTTATGCCTTATTAACAGTAGAATTCATTGTAAAACACACAAATCTTGTAAGTTTGTTGCCCAGCGAGAACACCAAATTCAAACGCTAATAGCCTTTGTAATTTAAATAGTATTCTCACATGCAAACGTGTACTTGATACATTTTTATGCTCAGTTTCGGAAATGTACAGAAAAAATTATGTTACAGCATTGTAACACTTCGAAATTCAAAACCACACACGCGAAAGGGAAGTATTGTAACATGTTGAAATACAAACACCCGCAAGAGAACAAAAACAAGGCACATAGACCAACGCTTCACTTGCATATATGAAAAACAAAGAAACAACATATACGCAGGCGCAGCGTTGTCCTGTGTTTGAAAAAAAGAGAAACAAGACACGTGCGTTTAGCGTTCTAGCATACAGAAGGACAAACTAGATACAATAATACAGCGTTGTAATAAATCAAAATAATAAAATTGTGATGGTAAAGAAAATTATGTCCACGTTTGAGCCAAAACGACCTGCAGCGGAATTTGATATATATATATATATATGAAAATTATTAAAATAGCTAAATCATGATAGCAACGTTTTTTATAATCGCACAGTTATTATGAGCCATTTTTGTATTCCTATACTTTATTCTCTACTAGCTTGGCTATCCGTTCCCTGGACGGAAGTTATGTAAATTCGTGATTAATGAAAGGTTATCTTAGGACATGAAAAATTACTTCTCTTACATGTAATTGTAAAATACGCTAAAATGCCCATAGAAACTGCAAAACACAAAATGTGAAATCGCAAGTTTGCACATATCTCCGCATGGACCCAACATACCTTCATGCCAAATTTTGTGAAGATCCATCAACAAGGGGCGAAATGGTGGTAAAAAACACCCATAAAAATCGTAAAATGCAAAAATGCTAAACTGAAAATTTGTATGTACCCCCGCATGGACCTAATGAACTTTCATACATCTTTTGGTGAGGACTCATCCACACCCTGCGTAGTA